GCTACCATTTTCGTAGAAGCCATTGGTTCCTCCAAAACGTCTGTTGTTTTTTCACATGTTGTTGCTGTAGTAGCCATATTGACAACCTCGACATTAACATTGGAAATGGAAGAAGTTTGTTTTACTTCGCTACAATGTTGAAAAGATATCGAATCTCCATTACTGAAGCTCTCCACTGATTTGTTCACAATCTAGAATAGTATCGAGTTGGAGAATCTCATACAGTTGCATTCAAAACTTACCTGCTCTTCTTTAAGATTAGCAGCTGATTCTTCCATATTGACAGCAGAACGTCGAACTACCTCTTTGCTAGCCAAATTCTACAATGCGAGTTCCATGAATACAACAAACGATTGAGAGCTTTTAGAGTTCAAAGAACATATCGATCTAGTCTTAACATAATTTCAGCAGTGAAAAATTTAATTTATCCACATAATTTCTTCATTTACGCATCAACTGTTTCCTAATCGGCCTTAGGAACTATATACTTGTTTCATATGAACACTTAAGACTAGCAATACAGACTCAGCAATATGAGACGCATAGCAGTCTGTCTTGAATTTTGAACGACCATTAAGTTATTTCTTTGTAAACTAGAGGAGTAATTATGACCTTAAACAATCAGTTTTCTCAATGATCGGAATTTTTTTCTCAAATCTGAATTTCCTAAGGACAAATAATCATGCGCACTATCGTTGTTCTCTCAAAGCAACAGATTACCAACTTTTGATCAAAGCTAGGCTTCTAGGTTATCCTTCGGATCCTTTTACATTATTGAGGGAACAGTTCAGTCGTTAGTCTATCTATCTACAATCGTTTTGAAGCGGTACCTTTCTGCGAAAATAAATTGAATTTCTTCCAAAATTATTTTCAAATCATAAGATTGGTAGTACCACTAGGTTCATTCTCAATAACTTTCACCTCATGTAATCACTCTATTTATTGTTTTCAAAAGTCTTGCGAAGTTTTTCTCATTAATTTTCACCGTTTATTCTAATAAGGGCAAATACTCGCTGAGTGAAATATTAGGAAAATCCTGTGATGATATTCCCCGCATAAAGCATGTTTACAAGAGAATCAAGGAAAAAATAGGGGAGGCGTAAAGTTCTGTTAGATTTGACTCGCCCTGATAATGTTTTATTTATAGCTCCCTTGATCATTGATGACTGGTGAATGGTTTTGGATAAAGGATTCGAAAAAAAATAACTGGCATAACAATAGCTTATTTA